GAAGGGGGAGATAAGGAGGAGGAGATTGTTGGGCGAAGAAGAAGAGCCTTGTCATTGTCTTTGCTGGTGTACATCTTCTTTTTCTTCTTTCTTACTTCTTCTTCTTCTTCTAATCCTCTCTCTCTCCTCTCAAGTTCATTCGTTTCTTTCTGCAATTGGATGGCATTGTACTTTCCGGTGGATGTGTATCTCGAAATTGGCCAGGGTCATAACATTGGTATCAGAGCGGATTCTACTTGCTGGTGAGAGTTGACTTTGCTGCCCTTACCCTAACCTAAGTGGTTGAGGGCAACACTTAGGGTTGGCGTTGGTTGGTTGAGGGAAGTGGGGCAGCGTGGCTATAAGGGAAGCTGCCCCCACCTGGTTAGGTCATGTGGGGTCAACATAGAACCTAACCAGGTTGCTTGAGAGTGAGATTAGGGTGGCGAGACATTTCGAGGAGACTTCATGCGGCAATTTGAGAGAGGCAACAGTGAGAGGCACTCGCACCTGGAATCTGATTCAAGGGAGACACTTGGCAACTTAAGGGCTGCCCTCAAGTAGGAGAGCTTGAGGGTCAGCGGCCACTCAGCATCTACGGACTGCAAGTTGCTACTTTGTTCTTCAGCATCGACAGGGGATCCGGTGTTGCACTTTGGTGTTGGAGTCAGACCCTCCTAAGAGATAGGACACTAGTGTAGGGGTAGCGTTAGAGGGGTCAGGAGGACCACATGAGAGGGGGGGTCAGTTTTATTCATCTCGAAGCTCAAGGCCACTCAGGTAAGTGTCGTGCACCTACGGGATGCCCATGTATGTGTGTATGGTATTGATTGTCCTGTTGGGGTCCTCTGGGTTTCTTTCCTACTCCTTTGTGGTCTTGATTGTGTGACTGAATGCATGTGATCTACCTACTCACCTGATGGATGGAAAATGAAGTATCTTGACCTAAATGCCGAGTCTTTCGACAGTGCTTTGTCTTTTCATTTCTGAACGGTTATAGTCTGTCGGTTTTGCCAGAAGTTGAAATTTCGTTTTCAGTGCAGTAGAGACTGAACTAAGTTCATGTGGAACTCCTCTTGGTTGGGACCTGGTTGAGACGTACGTGGGACCCCTGGGACCCAGCGGGACCGGGCCCAAACAAGAAGAGCCTCTGGACCCAAATCGGTTAGGCATTGACCTCTTGTCTTCTTGGCTGGGATACAGAGTCATTCTTCTTGGATTAGGACACCCACTGCCGAGGGGATCTTGGCTGAGACGTTTCGCATGTCTTCTGATTGCACTGTCCGTGGCTTGACTCGCGCCTTGTATACCACTCAATTCTCCATTGTTGCATTTACTTACTCGTTGTATGATTTGTTGTACGGTCACGGAGCTGGTCAGATTGGACTCGAGAGGACCTCGTATGCAGTCTGATCAGACTGGGTCGCTGGATCAGACCTCTCGTTTGAAGCTGTTTGTTTTTCTTTTGCTGCTCTTTACTTCCAAATGAAATGCCGCTCCGGCTAGGAGTTCTACCTTCTCTTCTCTCAGCTTTTCAGTTTGTTTCTCTGAGTTAATTTCCGATGCCCGTGGAGACTCGCAGCCAGAAAGAAGAGAGAGAGAGGAGGGAGAGAGAAAAGGGAGAGAGGGAAAGTGACTGTCTGAAGTGGGCAAGGACTGGGAAAAGGAGTGTTCATCCAAGTGAGAGGGCGAGTGAACCTTTTGAGAGTCTAATTGATTCTTTTGTTGACTGGCGACTCTCTGACCCACCTGTCAATACTGACAGTCCAAAAATGGCTCAGCTAACTTCAGTGCAATGGCGGACCTTGTTAGATGAAGCCAATGATGCCGAAAAACCATACCTACAAGCACTCCTAGATAGTGCAATCAAAAGGGAACAGGAGGCAGAGAAGGAGAGGAAGGAGACATTGTTGAGAAGGCAAGTGGCCATCCTAGAGATTGTTCCCTCACTGGCTGAAGAGCAGTGTGGGGAACAATTGCAGTCTATACTCATCGGCCTTGTTCAAGTCAGGAACCTTGAGGATCATACCACTCAGATCGTTGAAGTCTTTGCAAAGTTGCAGACACTTCAAGATGATCTGACTGATATGACCCGCAAGTACCATGATTTGACAAAGGAGGTGGCTGAGCTGCGACAAGCCCAAGTGGCGAACCCTCTTCCTCTACCCCCTGGATCTGAAGTTGCAATTGAAACTACCTCTGCCCCTCTTACTGTATCTTCATCCTTGAATGTGATGGCAGCCCCCTCGGGAACTGCAACAGGTGCAGATTCCGCTGTTGCTGTGACAAGCAACGAGGCTGGAAATTCTGCAACTGCTGCAGCCCCAAGATCGGAACCAGTCGGTGCTGGTCCCAGCTACGCCGGTCCCTATGTGGATCGTAAGGCGGTTCAAATACCGTCTAAGTACGACGGTAAGGAAGACATCAAATCCTGGATCAGCTCCATGAGGGCATATTTCGATATTCTGGGGACTCAACTTGAGAAGCAGTCCGTGATCATGGGAATGAATGTCGAGCCGGTCGTGCGGGGCTTCTTAGAGGTCCAAGCTACGCGAGCTGGGATTCCTAAAATTCAACTAACAAGATGGCTTAAGGCCACCCCGGTTGCCTCCCTCGAGGAACTCCTCATATCACAATACCTGGATCCACATGCTGCAACAAGGGCAAGAATTCAGCTTGACAAAATCAAGCGCAGCAAGTGGACGGGCTCCATGAAAAGCCTGCAGACGTATCTTAGCAAGATGTTTGCCACAACCGGATTGGAACTGCGCAATCTTGCTTGGATGTGGTCAAAGGCGCGGTTCCCACTAACTTTACTAATCGCCTGGGCAGGGACTTCATTGGTTACACTGACTGGTTCACCTTGATGAAGGACATAGTCATTCTTGAGGCTGTAGACCTCGTCACCACAGCAGGCAGCAAAAAGCCCATGGGCGACAGACAGTTCAAAGGCAACAACCGTTTTGTTGTGCATGACCTGTTGGAGGCCGAAGAAGAAGCCGATGCAGATGACCCCACTCTTGGTGACGACCAAGAACAGGACTCTGATATTGTTTGTTCTTCGGCCCATGAGTCTGATGCAAACAAAGAAGAAGAAAAATTTACTACCTTCAAAAAGACTGCCAATGCAAAGGGACCTAATCGGAGTGTAGGGAAGAGCTATGTCCAACTTCCCAAGGGGAGTCAAAATCCCACCTAAACCGGAGGATGCAACTACTAAACCTTGGGTTGACCTCCGGATTACTGAAACTGACTGGCGGGGTAGACTCAAGAAGGGGGTATGCCTGCATTGCCAAAAACCAAACCATAAGGTACAAGATTGTTATAGGCTGCAGGGAAACCAGAACCGGGCATAGAGTCAACTTCAGCAAACTCTACAGCAGGGGAGACTGAATCTGAGACAGATCAGCAGTCCTCCCTTGAAGCCCAATCATCTGCTGAACACAAGGCTGAGGTGAGTAATGTTTTGTATGTCGAGCCTTGGGAGGAGTCTGGGACGATCGATTTTCACTACCACTTGGAGCATTGGGCTGAGATGAAACAGCAGCGTGCCCAGGGGATGGTGAAGTTGATCTTCTTCAAATTTCTCATAAACCACCGCTATCTCCGTGTTTTGGTTGACTGTGGTGCTATGGCTAACTTGATGTCACCTCACGGGATACGCAAGGTGGGCTTGGGGATGAAGCAAGTGGCCTTGCAGAACCCTTGTCGGACCCAAGTTGGCAACAAAGAAGTTGTCTCCTCTACGCATGCAGTCAAAGGTGTGCGCACTACCTTTGACAAGGACAAAACTGTCACACACGCATTGAACTTCTATGTTCTTGACAAGTGCCCCTTCGACGCTGTCCTTGGCTTGGGCTGGCTACAGTCCCAATGCGAATGGACCAAGTGGAAGGAGTCACTTTTCATGATCAAAGATGCTAGAAGGAACGAGCTTCCTGTCCTCTTGGATGAGAAGCACGAGTCCCCAGTGACTTTTCTGAATGCAATGCAGTTCTGCAAGAAATGGCGCAAGCACAAGGAGGAAGAGCAGTTGTATGTTGCCTTTGTTCGTCCTACCCATGTGCCATCTACTTTTGCAGCTATGACCAAGCGACAGCACGCCATGATCCATCATGCGAACAAGAAGCGTCGACCGTCGGATATTGAGGTAGGAAGCTATGTCTGGGTCAAGATGTCTGAATTCTCAGAAGAAGAGGGAGTCTCACGCAAACTTCTCCCTCTCTATTACGGGCCCTGGGAAGTTTTGGATGTGATTGGTGAAGATCACTTTGGCCCTTCGTACGTCGTTGATGTGCCAGCCCACCTGCGCACATACCCCGTGTTCCACGCATCCAAATTGTACCTCCATGTGATGCTAAGACATTCGATTATCGAGAAGATATGATCCTTCCCGCGATCAAAGGTGGGCATGAGATACACAGGATCAAACCGCACGTAGGGAAGGGACGCAACAAACAGTACCAGATCACCCATTAGACGATCTGTACTGGATTTCCAAACAGGAACTGCTACGCAGCGCACCGCACATTGTCAAAGCATACGAGCGACAAATCGCCACCAACGCTCTACCTAAGATCTTTGCAAGGCTCACTGCAACAATGTACACTAGGAACCTCTTTGCCTTGCTCGCTTACGATGCGTTTGTCGAGGACTCGGAATGAGTTACTCGCTCGAAGGGACCTCGCTCTTGAGGGGGGAGTAGTGTGATGACCCGTCCATACACGGACTGAAACACAACTGATTTTTGAGTTTTGCCCATAGACTGAATGCCCTGTTGAGTTTCCCGCTTGCTACTAAGTCTGTGTGTGCACGTTGCTGGACTGCATGTCTGTCTGAGTACTGGATGGCTTGAGTGTGTGTGTGACCATGCCTGTCTGAGTGTTGGTTGGCCTGGGTGTGTGTGTGACCGTGCCTGTCTGAGTGCTGGTTGGCATGAGTATGTGTGTGGCCCGTCAGGGCACTCGCTCGTTTGTTGGGCCCTCAGGGGCGGTACTTACCTGTGGCCGTGACATTGAGGGGTTGCAGCGGGGAAAAACACTCAAGTAGCGGGTAGGCCGGTACCGCACCTGGAAGGGTAGATGTGCAGGTACCGGAGGCCGAGCAGAAGAAGACAAAAGTGGCATTTTTAGAGGCCCAGTAGTTGTAGGTTAGGTCTAGGCAGATATCAGTCCAACCAGTCTGGGTCTAGGGCCTGTACAGGCAATATCAGAGTCTGCAATTATGTTTCCCTCCAAAAGGGAGGAGGTACCGGTTGCTTGGGAGGCCGAGCGGCCTGGAAAGTCACATCCCACGAGGCAAAGCAGGACGCTATATCTTCTGGCCGGGCGGAGAGTCCGGCCTCTTTTTCGGTGTGCAAGTTTGGCGACACACTGGTGGAGCGCTGGCTGGAGCAGCGCTAAGCTGGAGCAGCGCTGCTGGGGAGGAAGGAGAAGGACACGAGGGAGGAAGAAGGAGGAAGAAGGAGGAAGAAGGAAGGAAGGGGGAGGAGCGCCAGGGGTACTTACCTGGCTATGGTTGCAGCCATCTTCATCACCTTGGTGGGCGCTGCAGCAGGGAGTCCCCAGCTGGGGAGAGCTACGCCAAGAAGCTTCGAGGCAGGGTCAGGCATGGCGGCCTGAGCTAGAGCAGCCATAGCTGCTTTGGGTTGTCCTTTGGGCATCTGAGCAGAGCCCAGTAGTCCGCCATAGCCTCGGCCTATGAGAGTGAAGAGTGGGAGAGGCGGCCATGGCTATGGTGGACCTTAAGTGTTACGTGCAGTGGAAGAGGGACTCCGACATTGATTCTGGATCAGTCATTCAACATTGTATTATTATTTCTTGTATGAATAAGAGAAGGGGGAGATAAGGAGGAGGAGATTGTTGGGCGAAGAAGAAGAGCCTTGTCATTGTCTTTGCTGGTGTACATCTTCTTCTTCTTCTAATCCTCTCTCTCTCCTTTCAAGTTCATTCATTTCTTTCTGCAATTGGATGGCATTGTACTTTCCGGTCGATGATTATCTCGAAATTGGCCAGGGTCATAACAAAAAAAAAAAAAAAGCTCCAATCTATCTGTGGGAGTTCTTTCTTCTTTCTTCTTTCTTCTTTCTTTTTTTCTTGTACATTGTATTTCTCTTTGTCTTTTCCACTTCTTCTTGAGTTTGGAAACCTTGCCTTGTCCCAAAGTTGAGTTTTGCATGGTAAGTTAAGGATCATGACAGAACATAAATTATAAATCTTAATTTCCCATTTTTCTTTTACAAAGGAAAATTTTAATATCCATTCAATTTGACTAAATCATTGTTTTTTTTTAAAAGTAAAAGGTGTTGATTGACTAGAACATGTCTTGTGTGTGTGTGTGTGTGTGTGTGTGTGTGTGTGTGTTTCACAATTCTATATTATTTTATACAACAATTACAACATGCCAGGTGTATAAGAAGTACTGGACAGTGGTGAGCACAGCCGCTCCAATCGGCTTAATGATTCTGTTTGCAGCAAGCCAATCAGTCGAAGTGTTTTCAAATTTCTGGTTGGCCTATTGGACAGCAGATCGATTCCATAAAACAGCCAACTTCTACCTTGGTAAGCAATGAAGCATTGATTTTTTCTTTTGACATCAACAATTTTCCTCAGATTTTGGCTTTTAGCACTTTTTTGGTCCGGGTTTTGTAGAAAATCTGAAAAAGAAAATTGACCAGTGGAATACTGGAAGTCTTCTCAATTCCTTTGCAATAAAATGTTTGTCAGAAAAAAAGGGGGAAAAAAATTCTGGTTGCTTGGCCTTTTGGGGGATGATTGACTGTGCACATGATTTTTTTTATTTTTTTTTTAATTTCTATTTTTATTATTTTTAAAATTTTATTTTTTTATTATTACAATTTTTTTTCTCATGTTCTCCGCTTAGTACTCCTTGGGTCGGGATTTCTGTAGAAATTCACTAAGATTCAGAGAAAAAAAAATCAAGCAGTATATGTCTTCTAAAAAACATGGCTTAGATCGGAACATGGATTCGGTTTGGTGTCAATTTGTTTTTTTCATGGGCCAAACCATTTTTGAATCTCCTCCCCCTCCCCCCCCCCCCCCCCCCCCCCCCCCCCAAAAGCAAACAGGATTGGATTATCCTGGGGCCAGGTCCCACTAGCAAAGAGGATTGGATTGAACGCCTCAATCTGGATGCGTTTGTAGAAAGGTGCAAAAAAATCGAGATTGAACTCCTCTTCTGCAAGCACGCCCAGATTCAGGCTTCCAATCCAATCCTCTTTGCTAGTGGGACCTCGCCCCTGTTCTTAGCCGGCTGCCGCAATTTCCGGAAATTTTGATTATCTGTTAACCATTCCGTCCCGCCTGTTCTTAGCCGGCTGCCGCAATTTCCGGAAATTTTGATTATCCGTTAACCATTCCGTCTCGCCTGAGCACCGCGCGACCAAACTACCGTATTCAGTACTATTCACCCAAATCCAACGCCCGGTCATATTATCGCTGTATCTCGACCGGAAGTTTCCCCAAACACCGCTATAGCGACAGGGCGTTCTATCCGGGTGAAGACGGCGGTCTCAGAATCAGGCATCTCCCCTCATGCACCCCCGCATGCAGCGCAGCGCCCATCCACCGCCTTGTCGTGGGGTACTTGGGGTATAAGTGAAAGTGGTGGACGGGTGCTGCATGGGGAGTTGTCTGATTCCGAGAATGGTCTGAGCTATCGGGGGCAGATGTTGCCCTGGGCTGTCCTTTCTTTGTTTTTTTAAGGGTTTTTTTCTGTTTGGTCCTGGTGAAATTGACACTGATAAACTTGTGTTCCCCGTGCAGGAATATACGCTGGACTCGGCAGTCTCTATGCCCTCACCTCATTTACTTGTGTGGTAGTGCTGCTCGTTCACTTGTTATTGACTTCCACGCTCTTGCATAAAGGACTCCTTGATGCAGTCCTTCGGGGTAGCATGACATTTTTCGACACAACACCGGTGGGACGAATCCTCAATCGCTTCAGGTATGGAGTCGTCTATTTTTTTCCTCTTGGAATATAGATCATCAAACAGAACTGCCCGGTAAACCGTAGGCAGAGAGGGAGAAGAGGGCAACAAACAAGGGGCTGTGACAAACTGTTTCGTTGGAATTTCACCGACTCATCAGGGAGGCTGAAGCCTCTACAGTCTGCAGAGTCCCCTAACCACAAGTACACTGAAAGTGATAATGCACCTTAAACCACAAGTACATGCCCCCAGCCTTGCAGCCCGAAGCCTGTTGCCAGAAGAAAACGAGTGAGGCCGAAACGTCAAATGCTGGGCCCGCCATTGATAACTTTGATCGGCGGCCCCGTTTTCGTTCCGCGCCTCCAGAATTTGAGGTGTCAGACCCGTGGCCCAGGGGCCCATGTACTGGTGGTTCAACCCTGGTTAAGGTTAAGCATCAACGACTGCCCGACAACGGTTACCCTGAGAGAGGTGGGCACCAACCACTTCCCTCAAGGTACCTGTGACGAAAACCAAATGAGACTGTGACAAATTGTTTCATTGGAGTTTCACCGACTCATCAGGAGGCTGAATCCTCTACAGTCTGCAGAGTCCCATAACCGATGATACTGACAGTGATAATCCACCTTAACCCCGGTTAAGATTAAGCATCAATGACTGCCCAACAACCGATACCCTGAGAGAGGTGGGCACCAACCACTGCCCTCAAGGTACCTGTGACGAAAATAAAATCAGACTATCGGGCAGTTGTTGATGCTTAACCATGACCGGCGGCTAATGTGGATTGTCAATTTATCACTTATATTATAATTTATATATATAATATTAATATACAATAAAAATTATAAAATTAAATAAATTCATTTTTTATTATTTTTAATTTTTTTTTACCTTTTATTTTTTTGAGAGTGCCTAATGCTCTCGAGATATTATCATTGAACTGACCTGGCCCAAGTCGGGTCAAATTCATTATTATTTAAATGTATTTTATGTAATTCGTTTTGTTCCATCATCGGGATTGGAACTCAGGTCTGTATTTCAACAGTCCATGGGCTTACTCTCTGGGCTAGGCCCGTTGGTGGTATGGACTCCAGGGAGTATACTCAGTATAGCGATCATTATTATCATCGTCTAAAGCTCGTCTTTCACATTTTTTCAGAGACCGACATGTCTTGTGGTGAAGCTTTGCTATTTACTACACCCACACCTACACACGTTGAGAGGTGGGCCCTACCGTAGTTGCCCCGCTCCACCATCCTCCAATATTTCGAATGCATCTTGACAGACTGCATGTCGAGATGCATTCGAAATCTCGGAGTCCATCTGCACGGATCAGACTATGTGTGACGGGCGTGAGGCTGAGGGTGAGCCGAGGGAGAGGAGAGAGAGAGGGAGAGAGTGAGAGCACACACACACACTCACTCACTCGACACGACTGACTCGGACTGAGGGTCGGACGCAGACACAGTGGCAAGGCACAAAGTCGAAGTCTTGGATTCCGAATGCCGATACAGCAAGTCACAC